ACATCTGGAGTCTTTTGCTTGGGGGTCCTTTGACCTGGAAGCCTATTGTAAGAGTTCCAGCAGGGGCAGCGCCCTTGTCGGGCCTGGTGGGAGGTTAGATTGCCAGGTTGAGGGGTGCCCTGCAGGAAGGTGCAGGCAGGTGTGACCGTGATGGTGGGTTTGGGGTCACACCCAGCATGGCCTGCCATTGTCTTTTTCGGAGGGTGGGTAGCCGTGCTTCTGCCTGTGCGTCTATGCAGCAGCAGATGCCCAGCGCAGCCCAGAACAGCCCCACCAGGCAGGGGCGGGCAGCCAGCCCCTAGGCCCACGAAGCAAGCCCCCTGAAGCCAACGAGAGGAGCACAGGTGGGGACACCGAGGCCCAGGGAGCACAAGGACCTCATATCCATATGTGAGAAACTCTAGGGTGTCTTCCAGTGCAGCAGGTGCACGAGGACCCCAGAGGGGGTTTCTGAAGAAAGCCGGGTGAGACCTTAGGGAGAAAGGACTGGGAGACCCCAAATGAGGAAACGGCCATTCTCGGCTGCAAAGGGGCAGGCTTCCTGGAAGAGAGAGTATTTGAACCTGGGCCTTCACAGATGGAGAGGAGTCGGTCTAGGCAGAAGTGTGGCATTTGCAGAGGTGTGGTTGTGTGCGGTGTGCTGGAGGGCGTGGGCACTGAGCGCCAGACCCCTGCCCTCGTGACACGCCTAGCAGAGGGGGCAGACGATCAGACCACATGCGTGACCATGAGTGTGAAGCGTGAGGTGTGCGAGGAGGTTAACTGGGGGTGGAGGGTAGAGGTCTCAGGGGTCCTGCCTGTCTGGGACCAGGAGGTGTGACCTGGGCTAGAAGGGACAGGTGGGCTGCGTCACCTGCGTGGAGCATGGAGGATGTGGCCTTTTCCTGAGAATCCAGGATGTCCTGGTGTGTTGGAGGCGAGGAGCTGCTTGAGCTGACGTGTTTCAAGCCTCTCTGTGCTGAGTGGAGAATGACCTGTAGGGGGCAGGGGTGAGGCAGAGGATCAGGGAGGAGCCCATGGCAGGGTCCAGGGGGCAGCCTTGTAGTGGGAGGTTTGGGGAACAGCAGCAGGACTCAGGAAGGAAGGATGGGCTAGGGGAGGTGGCGCTGCTGTGAGTCAGCAGGGCTGGCTGCCCAGGAGAGAAGGGCTGCGCCCCTACCTCACCCTCCTCCTCCCGCACCCCTCCCTGCTGCAGAGCCAGAGCGGAGCCTCAGACCCTACAGCCTGGTGCGGCCCCTGCTGGTGTCCGCCCTGCGGCCCGTGGTGCTGCTGCCTGAGTGCCTGGCGCCCCGGCTCATCCGCAACTTGCTGGACCTTCCCAGCTCCCGGCTGGACTTCCAAGTGTGCCCAGCGGGTGAGCCTGTTTGCCTGGAGACAGGGCCGGGTGGTGCCCAGGGCAGCCCGCCCACCGCCCCTTCGTTTCTCTCTCTCCTTTTGCAGAAAGCCTCTCTGGGGAGGAACAGTGTGCCCCCTCAGCACCTGGGGCCCCCAAGGCTCGGCCTGCCACCCCTGGGCTGGGCAGCAGGATCCGAACCATCCAGGAGTCCGTTGGGAAGGTAGGTGCTGTGGGCGGGGCTAGAGGTGACCCCAGGCAAGTCCTCTCTGCCCTGTGGTCCCCATTCTCCTCACCTGCGACATGGGTTGGCTGGGGAGCTGCCCTTGGGGGTCACCCTCGAGCTTCCAGGCTGCTCTGACTTACCTGTGCATCCTCATCCTTAGGCGCACCTCTGTCTTGGGAACTGCTGGGGTGCACGGCTGTGGGCGGTGGGCGGGGTGTGGCTAGCTTCATCCTGCAGATGGGGGGCTGAGGTCCAGGCCGCTCCGTGAGCCCAGGTCTCCTGCCTGCCCTTCCAGGCTTTCTGGCTGCCTGGGCCCCTCCGGGTGGGGAGGCAGGGCTTGCATGGGTGGGAGGGAGTCTGGGCAGAGCGCGAGGGTCAGAGTCCCTGGGCCGGGATTAAAGTGTAGCCTCTGTCCCGAGAAGAAGCACTGCCTGTTGGAACTGGGCGTGCGGGGCGTGCGGGAGCTGGTCCACAATGAGATCTACCCCATCGTCATCCACGTGGAGGTGACCGAAAAGAATGTGCGGGAAGTCAGGTGAGTGGGCGGGGCCGCGGGCAGGGCACGGCGGGCCGAGAGCTGCTGCTTCTGTGGCTGTCTCTCCCTCTCCGACTGTCTCTCCCTCTGTCTCTGCACCTCTCGTTTGCCATCTTTCTGTTTGGCCCTCTTTCTCTGCCTCTCCTCTGTCGGGGCCCTCTCCCTGTCTGTCTGTCTGGGTCTCCCTCTCTAACCGCTGCCCACTCTCCTCTCTTGCCAGGGGCCTGCTGGGTCGCCCGGGCTGGCGGGACTCGGAGCTGCTGCGGCAGTGCCGTGGCTCAGAGCAGGCGCTCTGGGGGCTCCCCTGCTCCTGGGTGCAGGTGCCGGCCCACGAATGGGGACATGCCGAGGAGCTGGCCAAGGTGGTGCGTGGTCGCATCCTGCAGGAGCAGGCCCGCCCCGTGGG